ACCTTCCCTAGCAGGAAGGGGCAGAAAGGATGCTTGTTATTATGGGCACTCAAGATTTAACACTTGAACTAATACCAAGAACAGGACAGACAGGAAGAACTTGTGATAAAGAAACACATTCATTCCACATAATGTGAAACAGTAATAAAAGATCCACAGAAGTTTACAATAGCCACAAAGGCTGGATTGCCAAAGCACTAAAGTATACATGAACTTTTCCTGTCTAATAATTAAACAAACTACACAGTAATGCCAGAAGAACTGAGTACTAGATAAAAGGCAGAGATGGGAAAAATCATGACAGTCAACACATTTTCTTAAAAAATGGAAATAAATAGTCACCATCTATCTAAATTTTAATAGGCAACAGTCTATTATGCACATAATGGTATTGGTAAAAAGAGAATGAGCTCATGCCAGGCTGTAGCTGAGGAATTAGAAGTCAATCTCCTTCATTTTTTTCCCTCATTTGTGAAGATGAATGATACACTACTAGTTAGACTGTGGGAGGATATTAACAAGAGGCAGGCAGATTAGTCAAGAATAAAGATTCCTAGTGATCAACTTTAAATCAAATGTGGAGTATCCCACATATTAACAATGGTCCCTACAAGCAATGACTGCAATCCTTCCATCCAGTCCTTAAACCTACTGGCATGCTTTGTTTTCATTAGCTTAGGAAAAATCAGCAAGTTACAGCTAGTGGGCCAAATCCAGTCTGGTGTCTGTGTTGTAAATAAAACTTTATTGGGACACAACCATGCCCATGTATCTATGTATTACCTATGGCTGCTTTTGCACTACAATGGCAGAGAGGAAGGGTTGTGACAGAGACCATATGGCCTGGAAAGTCAAAAATATTTTCTATCTATCCCTTTACAGAAAAAGTTTGCTGATTCTGAAATATAGCTACCAGTGAGTATACTACATACTATTCTGGTAACAGTGTCAGACAGAACAATAAGCTTAATGCATGAATGGATGCAGCATGGAAGAGATATGACTTGCTAGTAGTAAGAGGTAAGAAACAGATAACCTGGTATATTGGCAAGCCAGCAACAAAAATTTGTGCATGCTGAAATATCTGAGGACTTTGTCTCATAGGTACGTTAGATACTGCCGTCAGGGCAGCATACAGCTCTGCTCAATAATACGGTGCCAAAGGAGAATGAAATGCACAGTGACTCTCTTCTAAGCACTGAAAAACATTGCTATAAGTGTAAAAATGGCTGTTATATAATTATTTCTGATTTAGCCAGTGTTATTTCTTAATCTTGTTAAGTTTAAATCCATTCAACTGTATCAGCAAAAAGTCTTGTATTTAATCGGAATTACAAATATAAAAAATGTTGAGGAGCCACTATTTTACACTATTGTTTCAGTCCTTAACTCTAATTCATGTGGACTTTCGAGTAATTCTCAATTAACCTCTGATCTGGAGAGTTAAGTACACATTCATGAAAACAAAGAAGCTAAGTTAAACCCAAAGATGAAAGAGGTCTTCCCCCCCACCCCCAAAGGGATGGGATCGGTCCAAAGGAAATGATCCCAAACTGATAAACTATGCCATGATTTGGATCATGAATGCCACATTTTCTGCTGGGCCTTCAAACTGTCTGCCGTCAAATATCCGAGAATCTAAAGAACATGTAAGCAGGAGCTAATACATACATATTTATTTTAGGACAAATTGAGACAAAAACCACTATGAAGTTTTTGTAGATTGGCCAAGAATGCAGGTAGGAAGAAAGAGTAAGGGAATGATGAAGAGATATTGAGGTCCTCCCTCCATCCCCAAAATTCCAACCACAACCATATGAGACTTGGGGAAAGCTTGAGAAAGGAAAAGGAAGGGGAAAAAAGGGATAAAGTGGGAAGGGAACATGGGAAGGGCTTATGGGACATTTTGCACTACAAGAATTTATAGCTGCTGAAGAGCAACAGGAACACCCCACCCTTTCTCTATCCCACCCTTCCTCTCCCTACCCCCACCCTCATTAAGCAATGAGTCTAGCCAGATAAGCTACTCTGAGAGGAACAAACTATGAAGTTGCTGGACTTCCTTGACTTTCCCATCAAACATTCCCCAGCTAAACCATTAAAGAGAATGAGAAAACAAGCCTGGCATGGAAGTGGGCAGGTGCACAAGGTGTGGCAGCAATTGCATAACTCTGCTTCTCAAAACAAGCAAATCTCTACAGGCATAGGCATGCAGGTACATTAAAAACAGAGGGAAAGGGAAAGGGGCGGGGGGGGGAGGAGAGAAGGAAGGGAAAAAAGAAAGGTTCAATGCATTAATCATTAATTCTCCAGACTATCTTTTTGACCTTCCAGTTTCTTAGAGATCAAAAGAAAAGTGCTTTAAAGACCAACTGATGGTTTGTATCTAAAGTGAAGTCATGCCACACAAAGAAGTGAATGAAACTTAGTCATAAATGATACACGAGCCTATAGAAGCAGTCCATAGAGAAATATATTTGGCCAAACAGGCTATAAAGGCTCACCAGCTTCCTCATTGCTGGGGAAAAACTGTCTTCTCTAGTTCAGAATGAGTCAGCTGGCTAACTGGCAGTTATTTCAGTCCTCGGTTTACACCCCCTTCCCCACTTCCAAACTTTCTATACTTTACAGTGCTATAGAATCAATGGGGCTGTTGGTGGGTATCATCAATCATAAATAGACAGAACTGGTGTCATAACAATTCTGTAACTGCTAGCTCTGACAGTTTGACACCTGAAGGACAGGACAACCTCTACAGATATTATTTTTAATTTTGATTAAAAATTCTGGTGTGTACAATGTCTAAGATGTGCTATAAACTTCCTCCTTTGTCCCTGTTTCATGTCCTTTCCCATTTCCCCATTTCCTGTCCTTGTTTGTATGTCCCTGCCATATTCCTTCCTGTCACCAGTTTCATATATATAAAAACATTATTTAAAATTACTTGCATGGTTTCTAGAGACATAGTGGAAGATGCTATATAAATCTCACAGAAAGACTAGTAATCATAAACGTGAAAAGGTACCTCTAATTTCCCAACTTGCACAGTTACATCCAAAAATTTACTTCTTCCTTACCCTAAATCTTCATTACACTTCTAGTAATACCACTGCAGTGATACATTATCATTTTATGGATGAGGACAGGTTATTTGTATGCTGTAAGCGAGCCCAGAAAAGAGGCCCAGGTATTACATATAGAAGAAGGTTGCTTAACAGCATCATGCTAAAGAATAGTTCATTTATGAAATCACAGAATAAGTCGTTAGGAACATTAGTGTGCTCTGGGAAAAAAGAAAAAAAAGCCTGTCCTCGTTTCTGTCACCAAGCTATAATTTCTTTGCAAAATATCTTTTCCCAGCGGTTAATGGAGAACTGGGACTTCTGGTGCCAGCCAAGATGGAATGAGCCCAGTTTAGCCTGTCTCTTCTAAAACTCTGAACAAAATACAAAAAACAACCACCTCTGGACAAAATACGATAGCAAGAGGATTGGCGAGGAGGGTCAAAACTTAAAGAATAACCACTAAGGCTGCAAAACTATGGATGCCTGAAGGCAGTAGGACATCTTTAAATTGTTGAAAGAAAAAATAGTCAACTAAGAATTCTATGTACAACAAAAACATCTTTCAGCAATGAATGAAAAATAAAGTCATTCTCAGATAAGGGAAAATAAAGAGATCACACTCCTAGGTATTTATTCAAATGAAATGAAATGAAAACCTACATTTATACAAAAACCTATATATGAATGCTTAGATTATATTTATTATTCACAATTGACCCCAATTGGACATAAACCAAATGTTCCTCAACTGGGGAATAGATAAACTAACTATGGTATATACATACATGGAATACTACTCAGCAATAAAAGGGAGCAAATCATTAAACCACATACTACACCTCAAATGCATTATGCTAAGTAAAAAAAAGCCAGACTCAAAAGACCATATACTGAAGACATACATGGAATACTACTCAGCAATAAAAGGGAGCAAATCATTAAACCACATACTACACCATGGCTACACCTCAAATGCATTATGCTAAGTAAAAAAAAGCCAGACTCAAAAGACCATATACTGAAGTTTCCATTTATATGGCATCTGGAAAAGGCAAAACTATAATGATGGAGAATAGATCAGTGATGTCCAGGGCTTAAGGTGGAAGAAGGGCTTAACTACAAACGGATAGCTACAAGGGAATTTTTTTTTTTTTGCAAGTGTTGTGTATTTTGAATGTAATGGTAGTTACATGCCCCTGTGTATTTGTTGGAACTTACAAAACTGTAACCAAAAAAGCACAGTTTACTATTATACGTTAAATAAATGATATATATTAAAAAATAAGTAAAAAACAGAGAACGTGAAATCTGAATACATTTTTCCTACGGAAATTTTTTGACAATTCAATTATCTAATTGCAATTACTTACACATTCATAAGCAGCACTCTGTATCCCCAATATAATGGCAAATGGCCAGATTTTAATTGAAACCATTCTTATAAAACATCATTTGGAAGGCAGCTATGCTCACCACTATACCACCAACGCCTGCCCATAAAACATCATTTGAAAATGAAATCTATTTGGTCTTCACATATTTTGGGGAAAGTCCAGAAATCTTTAGAATAGAATATTACTATTACTACCATGTCATCAATGTATGAGTTAAATATAAATTTTAAAATTCTTGCCAATTATATAAACTCTTCCAGTTACATATTACAAATGTGATTATATGGTCACAATATTTATTTCTGAACTGGTATGTAAAATAAATAGGCACTATTGTGTTGCTATACATACACACAATTATTATTATTATTATTATTATTACTATTAAGGGGAAAAAACAAAAGCATGCAATTAAACCATAGGCTCGGGCTTAATACTTCCAACAGTGACCTAACAAGTTTTTCAAATACCTGCCATATTGATTTATGCTCTGTGGGGACTGGCACAGTAAAAATGTTAACAAGATTAAATTTTAACATACCCTGTCAAAGAGTGCAAAAAGTTGTCTCAAGACATCTGAAACGGGCAACTTTAAATACTCTGCAAATTCTTCAATTCCAATTCTTCCTCCTTTTGAGGCACTTGCAATAGATGCATATTCATCCAAATGCTTACGGATACCATCCCAATCTAACCTAAACAAACAAAAAGTATTATAAGTACATGCTACTAGCCTTTTAAAATTGACATGGACATTTTAAGAACATTGTTTTATTAATTTGTCTGACAGAAAAATATTTTAAGTGTTAAATTTGAAAAGGAGAATAAAATTTGTGTTTAAAAGTACATGTTGAATATGTATGCAGGTATTTAATTTTTAAAAAGATATCAGTATAACTGATAATTATCGCAAATATCTGAGGGAAAGAAAGATAAACAAAAAAGAACAACATCGTGGAATAAGAATGACTCATGAGAAGAAAATAAGACAGCAAATTTTAATCTAAACATTTTACTTAGTAAGTCAATAGCACTTACTGAGTTGTTAGAAAATGCATTACAATTCTTGCTTTCAAGGAGCTTTCAGGCTGATAATGAATTCATAAATCACAAAATGTTGTGACAGGGAGATTCATTAAGCTATACACACTTCCTCCAATATTAGTTATGAAAAACCAGGGTGATAAAGCACTGGAAAATACAATGTACCTTACAACACATCCTGTCTTTGACTTGTAGAATTAAACAAGTGACCTAACATATACAAGTGTACTTCAAAAAGTTCATGAAAAAATAGAATTGAAAGATAATACGAATCTTTCCACAAACTTTTTGAAGTACCCTTGTACTCCTTCTGTATCCAATTTCAGTGACTATCTAAACTTTTCAAATCTACGCAATATTGTGAACATCAAAACTAAAACATTTTTGTTATCTAGAAGATATAAATAACACTTTCTATACCAGTTATCAAAATGTATACTTTAATATTGAACTTTAATATAGTAATTGGTTCTGCAGCTCCTTCTTAGGCAAGATGCCAAGGCCTACTCAATCAATAAATTCTTAATACGGCTGAGAACAGAATGAACTGTAAAAAGAGGCGGGGTTGAGAGTTACACTTTTTATACCAGAGAGCTCAAAAAGAATGTTCTAAATGGCTTAAACTAGATTATAAAAGCACGAAGAAGGGTTTTGCCCTTTTTTAAAAAAACTAGGTACCATAAGAAAAAGGTAGATCTAGGGTAAGAATTTTCAATTCAATGATGGTCAGAATTGCTACTATACAAGTCAATTCCTGTTTCACATGTGAAGTTCTGACCATCCACATGCCCGTATCAGCTACTTATGCTACTTATCTTGAAAGACTGACTATCCCGAGCCACTTCTGAGTAGGGATGTAGATCATTTACTATCTCTCAATCTCCTCTTATGAGATATGTGCACATATCTATGAGTTAACTGTTCCTAAAAAAACAAAACTAGCTGAATAAAATGGGAGATAAATTCACAACCCCGGCTTTCCTTATATAATAAATACCATGTGGGTCCAACAGCTGAGCATTAATAAAGCAAGAGAAAACAAACATAGGATTTCAGATCCCTTTTGGACAACTTTATGAAAGAGTAGCAATTTTAAAGTACACTTACTTCAATTTCTGGCTAATTTTAGTAAATTCCACCAACCCAGCTTCCATAGGCAATGTCAGCTGTCCTGCTGAAATCATCAATCTGCAGTCTTCATAAGTATGATCTGTTACTGGTATTCCCAGAGCTCTAAAAGTATTAAGAAACAAAGTGAAATTCAATTTTTTAAAAATAGTAATGATTTTTCATTAGTCTTAAATTGGTCAGCAAACAACAGTAAATGGAAAAGTATTTATTACTTTTTAAAACAGTAGCTCTGGCTTTCCTTGCCAAAGAGACATATTTCTCTACTTCTTCACAAACTTACTGTGGCCAGAGGTAAACTCCTTATGTCTGCATGCTTCTGTGTAGCTGATAATTTTTGTTTTGTGTTTTAACTATAACAATAATATTAGTTGACTTTAGTTTCATGGAAAATAATTAGAAGACTTAGGTTCAAGCCCTTGTAGAGTCTTACCAGCTGTGAACTTCTTGGAATTTAACCTTGGCCTCACTTTTCTCTTCTGTACATAGAAATAATTACTCTACTTACACCACATGGTTAGTGTAAGGACAAAATAAGAATGTCTGTGGAGATACCGTTTAAACAGATAAATGGCATTTGTACATGTTATAAGTGACAGATCAGTCCAAACCACTAGCCATCTGTGTTTTTTCTTCTTTTATAATGAGAGACCATCTTCTTGCTACATAGCAATCTTCTAAAAATACTAAAGCGAATTGATAATAAGCTGATATTTCTTCCAAAACCAAACATCCTCCATCCTCAAAGGAGAGCATAACTCCTACTACCTACCTTGCTATTGTTCAGACATTGAATCATATTAAACTAGAATTGTAAAAAGTATATATCAATAAGAACTGAAAAAACACTGAGTACCTAGAAGAAAGGCTCTGCAGTATATCATAAAATAATTTCCTTAAGATTCCTTTTCACTAAAGTTATATTCACAAATATTCAGTACAAATCATAAAATTATGTCTTCAACTGTATTTGATTTTGTTGAATCATTGCTGGGAATATTAAATTTTGAATGAATGCAATCAGAATAAAACATTTTTTTCTAGGCTGTTTCTGCTTAATAAATACTTTGGTACAAGGATAAGATGGAAATAAAAATATAAAACATTTTGAGAATTATAATAACAAATAGTACAGCTTGGGCTTTGGTAACAGAAAATATAGATTTGAGTCCCAGCCCAGTCTCTACCTAGTATGATTTTGGGCAAGCTACTTACCTCCTTGAGTCTGTTTCCTTACTTACCTCATAGAATCGCTGTGAGGAGGATGTTAGATAACAGAAATAAAGGGCGTGGCACAGTACTTGGTCAATATTTATTATTAGTAGTAGTACCACTACTTTATATCTACTTTACTCTTTACTATTTTCATTTTTTTTTCCTAATTTTATTTTGTCGATATACAATGAGATTGATTATTGTGGCCCATTACCGAAACCCTCCTCCCTCCTCCCTCTCCCCCCTCCCACCCAACAATGTCCTTTCTGTTTGCTTGTCATATCAACTTCAAGGAGTTGTAGTTGTTAAGTCTTCTCCCCGCCCCTACTATTTTCAAATGCTTTTATCATATACTTGCCCACTTGAGTCTCATAATAATCAAAACCATGAGAAAGGCAAGGCAATGATTTTAATTCCCACTTCACACATGAGGAAAAGGAGTCGTGGAGGGGACTTGTCCAAGGTTGTACAGCTAATTGAGGTTTTACTCTTTATCCAAGGCCGTTATACCTCCACAACTCCAAATTCAAAAAAAGGCTGCCTAAACAAATCCCATCTCTGTTTTTAGGCACATAAGCCAAAATATCTGATATAAATTCTATCAGTTCCTAATATTTATCTTACTTTTTAACGTTTGTACATAAGCTGGTATGAAAAAGTAAGACACAAATGGAAGAAAATAATACAAAAACTCATTTCGTAGCTGGTCTAGAAACTAGATAAACCAAGCACATCTAGGTACACTTAAAAGCAAAAAAAAATTTTTCACTAAACATCTAAAAATTTACTCTATTTTGAAAATAAATTTATTCTGCTGTGAAATATTAAGATATATATATTTCTCTCTCTCCACACATACATATTAGGGTACTTCAAAAAGTTAATGGAAAGATTCATATTATCTTTTAATTCTATTTTTCCATTAACTTTTTAAAGCACCTTCGTATTTATATCTGGCTATAAAGCCAAATTCAGCTTTGAAGCTAAATTAAGAGTTCCCATTGAATTTTTACTAAAAGAATAAATACTGCTGGCCTATTAGCTCCAAATCTACTACTGGGAATGATTGAGGGAGGTGAAGCCTGGGGAGAAGTTGCACACCTGGAGGACTCAGAGGCTGCCTAGGGTGGTACAGTATAACACATTCTTTCATTACAAGATGGGGTGATTTATCTAATCAGGATAGTGGCCAATTAAAATACCCTTAAGTGGAGGAAAATATTTACCTTACGTTTTTTAGTTTCTAAATCCTAAATTTACAGCCATCCCTTCATAGAGGTGGTTTTTTTCACTTTCCTGTGCATCTTTTTCTCCTGCAAATGTTCACTTTTTTGGTGCTATAGTCATTAATGTCTTTGAAACACCCAGACCTGGGCAGTTATATGGAGGCTAAGGATACAGAAGGTGAGCCATGGCAGGTACCGCTGAGACACAAGGTTTTGTCTGATAGTGATGGGCCAGGCTGGGAGAGACCACCCTGTGAAAGGCACTGACTGGTCTATTCTGATTATTGTACTCTCCCCTGTCTTTCTGGTAAAAATGTATTTCCATTAGTTTGGGCTGCAGCTGGGAAAAATATTTATAGATTATTTTACTGACTGTCCCTGGCACATTATTCTGCTTAACAAAATGAGTTGGAAAATGAGGCGCATAGGAGGGAAAACAGCTTACAACAATGTTAAATGGGGCCGAGCCCGTGGCGCACTTGGGAGAGTGCGGCGCTGGGAGCACAGAGACGCTCCCGCCACGGGTTCGGATCCTATATGGGAATGGCCGGTGCGCTCACTGGATGAGCGCGGTGCGGGTGACACCAAGCCAAGGGTTGCGATCCCCTTACCGGTCACGAAAAAGACAAAAACAAACAAACAAACAAACAAAAAAACAATGAAGCCAAGGGTTGCGATCCCCTTACCGGTCACGAAAAAGACAAAAACAAACAAACAAACAAAAAAACAATTTTAAATGACATTTACCAATAATTTTCCAACTATGTACTGGTTATTATCATATACAAAGACTTACTCTGCCATTAAATTCCGGACTCTACTGGCAAAAAGGACAGGATCACTTTTTTCTTTATCATCTGGTACTTGAACAGGCAGAAACTGAAAAAACAAGTATATCTTTCCATAACAATCCTTAGGCGTAAGACATTAAATGCTAAATAAACTAACTTATAAACTATCTATCATTATATTAAACGCCCTACCTTTCTAGAGCGTAGGTTACCAGATGAAATGGAAAGAACACTGGGCTTGGACTCAGGAGATCTGTATCCAAGCCCTGGGTCTGCCTCTGTGTTAACTAGTATGCCATTTAACTTTGCTGAACTGTCTCCTCAACTCTAAAAATGGGGCTATGATCACCTACCTCCCTGATTGTTGGGAGGGTAAAATGAGCCAATGTCTAGAATACAGGAAGGTGTAAATCTGTTGCTACTAAGATCTTACTCTCAGAGCTGCATTTTTCTATGACTCCCACCCCTTTATGTAAAAATGGTCTCTTTCTGTCTTTTATAGTTTTATCTTCTCTACTCATTTCAATGTCAATGATATTTTTATTATTTGATTACACTTTCTGTTTTGTATTTTCTTCTGCTTTTTTAAAAAAAATCCTTTAATATTGGCTTTCTAGTTTTTGCTTAACACCATTTTTTGCTTTATTATTTTTAATTTTACTTTTTTCTTTATTTGATATTCTGTGATACTTATTTGCACTGTCCTTGTTTTTATTTATGGTTTTCTAACATAAACAAAGTTTTGGTGCCATATACAAGTCATTACATAATTTTTGAGCACCTACTAGATACCAGGCAAGATTAATAAGACCCTATTCCTACTCTGAGGAAGATCCATATTTTAATAGGACAGACCAACACATCAATAAGCCCCTTGTTAAATATCATTACCCCTCTTAGCCCCAATTATGATGAAGTTTAAAAGCTTAACCGACTTACTGTAAGTCATACAGTCACATCGCTAGGATTCAGCCCAAGGTCTGTCAGATTCTAAAACCTTATTTTCCACACTAAACCATCATTCCTGGAGTATATAGGAAGTAGTTAATTTCACCAAATGGCAGGGAAATGCAGTCAAAGAGGCTTTACAAGAGAGTTAATACTTGATTTTGGCTTTTTAAGGGTAAGTGTTATTTCGCCAATAGCTATCATTGACTGAATTCTTACTATGAATCAGGTGCTTTATATACATTATTTCATTTTACTTCATTTCATGAATTTTTCTCCTATTTTTGTCATAAGGAATTGGGGCTCACAAAGATTAAATAACTTGCTCAAGTTTTTATGGTTTAGTTCCATTCAACAAATGTTGCTTAGACACCTATTATGTGCTAGACACTGCACTCAATAAGTCTTGAACACATGGCAATTAAGTTCCTGCCCTCAAGAAACTCTCTATGCAGTGGGGTATAAATTTATGAAACAATAAGATAAATCCACCAATAAGAGTTACCGGCCATGAAACACCTACTGTGTGCTGGCTACTTTATTCTGGGGCCTTTATATGATTAACTCTCTCAACAATTCCTTGAGGCAAGTTCTATCATTTCCATTTGATAGATGAATAATACAGTTCAAAGAGCTCAGACAATACAGTCAAGGCCACACATAAGTAGCAGGGCTACAGTTTGAAAGAAAAAGATTTGTAATAAACCCATTTTTTTCAAATGAACCTGTTTTCAAATTTTGTTAATCATGTTAAGAAGCCTTTGGGCATTGGGGACATGACCAGGTCCAAGTTTTTGAGCAGTAACTTCAGCGTTGGGGAGTAAATGCACCAAGAGGAAGGGAGGAATGCACTAAGAGCAGGGAGGACACCTGGAGGCTCCTGTAATCTCCTAGGAGAGATGGTAAGACCTTGAATAGAGGGAGTGAGGAAGCACAGGACAGCATGGATGCAGGTGGCATTTTTAATATAAAATGTATAGGAATTATAGAAGAATGTGCTATATGTCATTTGACTTTTCACATTTGTTTTCTTAACTTCCAAGGGGCAGGGGGCATGCTACAGAAAGAGCACTCAGCCTGGGTTGCGGCCTTGACTCTGCTCTGTGATCCTAGAAAAGTCATTTAGCCTTTATGGCCTCAGTTCCCTCTCCTGTCAAATAAAAAGGTTTGACTAGATGATTTCTAAGGTCCTTTCCACTTGGAATTCTATGTGTAGCTCTCTAGCATCCAGTTCTTCTTTAAGGTGGAAAAATAAACTAAGCCACCAGAGGTCCCCACATCACTTATATATCCAGAATAACAAACTGAGTATTTCTAAAAATTCCCTCCATCCTGATCAAGTAAAATTCTTATATTTGCTTAGTATGAAACCCAACAAAGAAAACAGTAAGTTAAAATTAATGCTCATAAAATCTCTAACAAAATAGTATAAGAAATTAAAGTTTTAAATTGCCATATAATGCTTTACTTTTTAAAAAAAGTCAAATGACCATTTATAGTACACTTGATTTTGTTATAAAAGCACATACTGAAAGCCCTGCAAAATAAATTGCTGCTATACTGTTAACCAAACACAACACAATGAACTATAGGTTTAGTTTCTATTAGTGTAGGTAATATTTTCCATAAAATGATTCTTAATAACTCTAATATTCACATGGCATTTTATTCTTGAGGAATAAAATTCCACTGAGGGTACCAAATAATTAAAAGCCTGGATTTGATACGCAGGGGCCTTGGAGGCCCCATGCCTCCTGAGAAGCAATTCAGTAGAAATTCCAGTAAAAAGTCACTTCTAGGATAAGACCTTGCCTTCTGTCACATTTCCATTTTGTACAAAGTCATTTGAAGGCTCACAGCATAAACATACCCTTTATTTCGAAAAAAAGATCAACCAGAACATGATCACCATTACCTATTTTGGCCCTTAACACACATCTAAATACCCCTATGACTTCAGGACCCCAAGTTTTCCTTTCTGCCTTCGTCTTCTCTCATTATCCTCAGTGCTCACACTTGATGACCCACTTGACTTCTTGATTTCACAGTCCCTTCACCTGGCCACAGATATTGTTCTAACTCCAGCTCAGACATAGAAACAGACATATGACCCTAATCTCCTCCTCTGACAAGTTCTTCAGTCATTTCCCCTTCATTGTCCATTAGTGTTTACTTCTCCCCTAATCTGGTCTTGCATAGACTATGACAACCTAATTGTCACATCAGAACCTATGCATCCCTCTGTATTCACTCCCTCTGGTAACATGTGCCTTTTTATCTGTCTGTACTTGGGAGTCAGACATTTCTCTATGGCCCTTCTGTCACCTAAAATCTCTCACTTCTTCCACACCCACAGTGCCAATCACAAATCTTTGGTGACCTCTCCTGAACCTGCCTTACCACTCTTGTTAGAGACCACTGAAGGATGCTACAGAAAGTTACACATGTTCTATGCTTTTCAAATTGCAATTCCACTTTTATCTCTCTCTCCCTGGCCCAATGGCATTTCACTTTCAACTCTGAAAGGAAGATAGTTGATATGAACTTCTTATATTCTCTTTTCCATTGCACCTGAGACTAGCTCCACAGCTCTATTCCTGTCCCCACTTCAAATATTCTCTATACCTTTTCCATACTTTACTCTGCACTATTGTGTCTCAAAAGAGGAGACTAACATGTTTGAATTTTTGGTTCCAGAGTTCCCCACCTCCTCTTGGGCCTTAAACTGCACACAAGGTAAAGTTAAAATTCCTCAGCCTATTATTTAAGACTATCCATTAACCAGATCCAATCCTTTACATACATGCTCAGTACCAATAAAACTAGTTCATTCATTGTTTCTTGACCACACCAAGTACCTTTCTACTAAATAAATGATGATGAGGAAGAAGATTGATGAGTGATGACACTAAAATCAATCTTTTGTTTTTTCCTTATAACAGAAAAAGATTTTAAAAGGTCAATCTTAGCAAATGTGCAACTCTAGTTTTTCCCACAATTCTTCTCTTAAATCTTCAAAGAGAGAAAAATGCAAAAGAAGAAAGATTTTTATGAACAATACTTGCTGCTTCCCTCCCCAAATAACAGGGACATCTAAGTGAGAAGGAAAATAAAAGCTAATGCTTATTGAATACTTACCACATGCCAGCATATAAGCAACCTTACTAAATCCTCACAACTATATAAAGCAGGTGTCATTATCTCCATTTTCCCAGTGAGAGCATAGGCTGAGAGGTTTAAGTAATTTGCTCAAGCATATACAAGGAGATAGCTAGTAGCAGAACTGGAACAAAAACTCCAGGTAATTCTCTTTTATAACACTCCATTTCTCTACTAGTATTTAACAAACTGCAGTATTTTACCAAGTTCCAGAAATTAGCTTTGTTAGAACAAGCATATACATGGTGTGTGTGTGTGTGTGTGTGTGTGTGTGTGTGTGTGTGTAGCTGTGTGATGGAAGTTTTCTAAAAGACACGAGCCTTTTAGAAAATACAAAACTATAAATAAATAAATACAAAACTAAATAATTTTGGCATATTTGCATATTTAAATAAACTATATACATGTATTTTTTTCCCCACCCCCCCCGGATTTTTTTGTGTGTGTATGTGGGTGAATTAAATTGTTTATTTTTTAGCTCCCACCAATGAGT